GGTGAAATTTAATAAAAATATCTGAGATTGAAATGGGGTTATGACTTTCGAGATTTGTTCCATTCAACGATGAATTAATTTCTAATATGGTTGAGCTTTGCAACATTGCCTCACATATGGAAGAAAGATCCAATCTGTTCATTGCATTTCCAGCATTTTGGGAAATATTGATGCAGATGTTTAGGATTTAAATGAACATGGATTTAAGGTTAACTATAAAAAAAGTTGTTAAATAAGTTTGCCATTCTGTATATGAGTAATGCAGAATATTCTGTCCATAAGGAAATGTTTTCTGCACAAGGAAAGTAGACAAATGGCTAACTGCAAGACAAGCTAGATAGTAGAATATATAGTAGTTTCCTCTGTAAGGGGAACAGTACATTATTTCCAGATAAACCCCCAAAAACACACATTTATTGCATTTTATTTATTTAACTTGATAGTCCATCAACTGACAAAATTGCTCAGTGGTTTACAAAACCTTTTTAAAATTGAGACATTAAAAATAATTGCAATAGCAATTACAATAAACAAGGAAGTGAGTAGAATTAATAATTAAGATGAACAATTAAAACCAGTAGTTCAAAGCTGCACTAATATGTCTTTAAAGGATCTTTTAAAAAGCTAATAAAGATGTTAACGTGTGCACACACATCAACACATCATCTCTGCAGGGCGTGCATTCCAGAGGTGAGATGGCAACAAGAAAACAAGAAGCTTGATTCTGAGTTGCCACCAAAAGAGCTCGTGGCAACTATTCCTTGAAGTTCCTCAGATCTCAATGAGTTGGGGATACATAGAGATATTGGTGTTCTCTCAAATAGCCTGAACCTGTACTGTACAGGACTTTAACCAATACTTTGTCCAGAAATAAACTGACAGTCAGTGCAGTGTTTTAAGCATTGATATAATACTCTCTTTTTGTGTTCTTCCCAAGACCAATCTGGGTGCTGAGTCCTGTATCTTCTGTAATTTTGAACTAAATACAAAGATAGCTCCACGTAGAACACTTTTCTGTAATCAAGCCTGAGCCTGTGTGCTAGTTTGAAAGTCACTGGGTAGTTGGATGGATGGCGGTGGCGGCAGCAGTGAGAGTTGGACTGGACATGGAAGGAAAGGACTTTGTTGGAAGTGGATGAAGGTTAGGGAAAGATTGAAAGGAGCTGGATGAAGAAAGTCAAAAGTAAAAGTGGTAGAGAATACAGGTAAAGATGAACTATTCATGAATGGGCTCCTGACTTTTGGAATATCAGAACAGTTTGGGAAATCAGCATGTGGCATCAGTGGTGAAGTGGCTAAAGATGGGGTTTAATGAGGTTGCTCTATTATTACTGCCTCTCAGTCAAGGAACAGATTTGTTGCAGTTGGGGTTAGCCATGCTACTTGTTGATGAGCATGGAGGTAGGAACAGAAGTGGATAGGTTCTTGTCTGCCACAAGTACCGATGGAGCCACAGGGTAACACAAGGAACTCCAGCTGCAACAGAACAAGAGCCTTCAACATGAACAAGAGCCTTCTCCCAGCAGGAGTTCATTTGGGAAGGGTTCTATGGGAATAGGCAGCTTTGGTTACTGTTAGGAACACTTCCTGGATGAGAGCCAGGAGGTGCTGGGAAGAGGCCCCTGGAGTGAGAGGATAGGGGAAGTGACCCTCAACTGAGGAAGCCAACTGAGAGTGGGGTTCAAAGGAGGGGCAACTGGAATTTGGTTAAAGGGTAGAGAGATGGGGAGATCTGTGATGGGTAAATGAAGGATGATTGGTTTTAAAGAATGAGGAAATGAGAATAGAGGCTGGTGAGAGTGGTTTATCAAATACCAATCTTTTATCTGAGTTGATTGATTGGGGAATGGAGGAGTTGAGGTAAACGATAGCTTGGATGTGAAGAGTGTGGATTGGTTCTTGATTCTTACGATGTGGGGAGGGATTGCAGATAATTGTATGGAGGTAGAAAGCAGTGAACTCTTTTTGGTAGTGACATGTCCTGAGACATATGGCGGGGGGGAGGGGCGTTGCTGGGGAAGGTAGGCCAACAGTTTGATGTTGGTCTCCACTTCTGACCTGAATGCCCTGTCTTGGTCCAGGTAGTTGGATTGTTGGTGATCTTGGCATTGAGCTGATGATGGTGAATGCTAGGTCTGTTTGCAATAAGTCTGCATTTATCCATGATTTGATCATGGATGGCATGAATTTCTGAGACCTGGTTGAGGAAGAGAAGCAATGTAACCCTTTCTGAGATTTGTCCCACCAGGTTTCAGGTTCTTCAGCAGCTTCAGGGACAGAGAAGGGGATAGCAATGGTCATGAGAGAGACCTTACCTGTGACCAGGATCTCCATTCTAGAAATGACTGTGTGAATGACAGTGTGTTAAGTTGATCAGTAGGGACAAGTTATGAGTCCTGCTCATGTATTGGTCATCTAGCACCCTGGCAAGATCCTTTTCTGTGATCCTGAAATTTGCAGTGGAGTTTCCCAGGGTGAGAGGGCTTTAACTGATATATCTTATGGGCAGGTTTAGGGAGGGCTTAGGAATCCATGACAACAATAAACCTGTCCCAAACAATATCTGGTCTGACACATTCAGGTGGGCATATATTAGACCTCATTTTTTACTTTGAAGTTGGTGATGTGTGAGCTGGACATGGAAGACACTATACTTAGTCCTTTGTCATGCTTACTTGCTAGTCCAGATGCAAGTTGTTACTACCCAGGACCTCCTTGAGGTAGCTATGCCTATTAAGATGATCTGTGCTGGTGGATCCACATGGGTTCCAAATGGTGATTTCCAAAAATCTGGCAGGCAGTTTCATTGGGAAGTCTGGTCAGTGCCTGGAACAGGGGTGTGGTCAAGGCTTTTGATGTGATTGCTCCTAAGTGGCCCTTCACTGTTAGCCTATCCTAGGGAGCTCTTTGATTAACTGAGAACCTCAGAGAAATGAAATGACAGAAGAGACTCCTGGAGTCCCAGTGAAAGAAGTCAAAGGAGTAAGTTTGACTGAACACTCATATGAGTTGTGTTCAAGCTTACACCATGGCAAAAAGAACAATGACTGGCCTTATTGTGGCAGCAGCTTGCCATCCGTCACCCTTGTTTAAGGTTGTCTGTTTCCTGTTAGGGAACATTGAGCAGGAAGAACTATTGCCAAGCTGCTTTGATGAGTTATGACAAAGTTCTGCTGATCAAGTTGCTAGATAATCTAGTTCTTCTAGGACTGCCAGCAGCCAAGAAGTCATTATTCTCTCACTTACCTTGTTCACCTCATTATAGGTTAGAGGTTGACCTGTAATTGCCCATGTCTGAGGTATCCGGAGTAGGCTTCTTGAGAAGAGGTCTAATAATTGTCCCTTAAAATAGGAGGCATCCTGTCCTCCCTCAGTGAGGCATTTAGAAGGTTAACTAATAACTTCCCAGCTAGAAGTTGCAAGCCAAACTAGCAAGGATCCACAGGACAAAGGCAGAACCTGCCACTTCTGTCTGTCCACATTCTTGGGAATCATAAATTGAAATTAATCCTGTTGAACTATACAAGATATGTTATGAGACACTTCTGCACCAACAGTGGTATGCATGTTAGCCAAAATACAGGATATTTTGTCCACAAAAAGCTCGTGGTAAACTTCTGAAATTTCTATAATAGTTTCTGCCTTCTCTAGCTTGGTCTCTCATACACAAGGCAAGTCGACTTTCTCACCCACAGCCCACCTCTGAATGGTCTATTCTGGTTCGAGCTAATCTGGCATTACAGAGAAGCAAGGCCAGATGATTTTAGTGGGTGGCAGCACTCTCCAAGGCCTAAGAATTGACAAAGCTGCCAGAAGGGAGAATAGCCTTAAATATCTAATTTTCTTTCCCCTCTATTAGGGTGGTGGCTTGCCAAACCCAATCTTCTATTCCCGACCATCATTGTGATTGCTGCCCCAGGCTCCCTGCTTTCACCCACAGACATTAATGGATCATTTAAATACTTAAAGGGAATCCCCTGTGCATATATATGCAAAAAAGTCTCTCAGCCCAGCAACAAAACAGGGAAAACTGTCAGGAACCTTACCTTACCTCCCACCAGGCAGACTGGGAACATCCTCTGAAGGGACAGCCAAGCTCTCACTTCAGGTGTCATTCCCCTGCAGGAAGCCAAGTGGGACTTAACCCTCTTTCCTAGCTGCTCCTGGCTGCATTGAGGAACAGCCCCAGATACTACATGTACACTGACAAACATTCACCACTTGTGGGTGTGGTCTTCTTGTCATCCTCAACATGGCTTCCCCAGAGGCCAGTGTGCATTAAATGGACTCCCACCCCCCCAAAGAGGCAGCCAACAAGGGAAGGGCCTTTGGCTGGTTCTGAGCTGGCAAGCAATGAGGTCTCCACATCAATGCTAAGCAGGCTGCAGTCCAGGGAGAAGAGGAACAAAGGCCCAGAGGTCTTGCTCTCACCACCTTCTTTGGTATTTTTTGTTATAGCCCCTCCTTTCTTCTGCTTGAATCAGGAGACCCATGTCAGCCAGCTTTAAATGCAGCCTCCTTTAATAAATGTTAATCATAAAAAGTTGCATTCTTACAACTTGCAAAATAGGGCTATATTTTATGTCAATGAATTAAAATATTTCAAATAATGTTTTAGGAAGTTGTATGCTCCAGTCCAAAATGTTGTAAATTTTTTAGAAAAAATCTGGACGTCTAAAGAAACGTTAGCTTTACCCCTATTTCTCCTGTCCTTCCATTTCCAAAATCTATAATAGTCTTGTAGTTCTGAATCTGAATATAACAAAGAAGCTGGTGTTTTAACATTGCATTACAAATTAGAATCTATGCAAATTAGGTTGTTCACAGCTTCTTGCTATTTGGCAGCTCAGAACCCCAGTGGTGATTTGTAGAGCGTAAGGGATGAAGGGCATGGGAGGGGCCAAAATTTCTGCTTTCTAAAAATCTGGAATTTGGACAGTGTTGTTTTCCTAAGAGGGAGTTTGTAAAAAATGTGTGAAATAACAGTCTGAAATACTAAAAACTGGTAAGAACATAATAAAGTGAAAAACTTGAAGGAAGAATAGTTGATTGCCAAGGAAGAACAGCATTCCTGCCAAATTGGTGAGAGCAAGGTGTGTCATAAAAGCTTCAAGTCTAATATTATCACTTAAGCAAAGAAAGTTATTTTTCCCCAATTGAACTTAATTTTTAAAAAGAATTGTCTTTTGCTTTTCAGGAGGCCCAAACATGTGGGCCATCACTTCTGAAGAAAGAAAGAAGTATGATAAACAGTTTGACAGCCTTAAGCCAGTTGGGGGATATATTACAGGTTAGTGTGGTATTCTATATGATTGGGAGATTTAGTTCATTGAATTGCTATTTGGTTAAAAATATTTATTGAAAAAGAAATTATTGCACCTGTCAATACCAAAAAATTGTTATTGGCTGTAAGTCTCATATAGAATTGTAGCTGGCTTAACTTTTTAGAAGGTAAGGTACATTTGTCTGTGTTTATTTAATGATTGTACCACAGTTTATAAGATAATAATATACAACATAAATAATGCTTTTGAAATCATGTGGTACCATGAGCTGACCTAATTTTATATAAAAAGAAATTAGCATTAGTGGATCTCCTTCCAGGTGGCACCACCTAGCCAGCCTTGCTTGATCTCAGAAAAGCTAAAGATGTTTATTATTTGGATGGGAAGCCACCAAGGAATCCCAGGGCTGTAGCTGGGCTAGGAAATTAAGGGAGAACGATTCTCAGAAGAAGGCAGTGGAAAACCACTTCCATAGTGTTTCCAAGAAAACTACATGGATATACTGTGGGGCAAAAAAGTATTTAGTCAGCCACCAATTGTGTGTCAGGTTCGGTCAGCACGAGGCTTCAGGGAAGCACGGGGTTGCAGGGAAGCTCGCA